CTCACTAAAACCAAATGAGCTTGTGGGTTTATTTGATCACATTTATTCTGCGAGCGCAAACTTTTTTGAAATCAAACGGCTTACAACATACGGAGCAAAGATGTAATAAAATGTTTTGAGATTTCAAAAAATTTTTTTACAATAAGCTGTACATCATTTTTCTAATTTCATTAAATACATAATCTTAAACACAATCAATCGGTGATCTTAATTTTCTATTGGAATTAAAAGGGTATTAGGCAATATTAATCAAAACTTTCAGCCGTTATTTATTGATTTAACTTTTTTTTTCTGGGCAAATAACCTAGTAACCCGCTAATGCTCTGCCACAAAATCTAACCCATAGTATTCACCAAAAACTACATACTAACCTCTTGTTCGGAAATGCATCAATGCAAAGCAAGCATCAGTATCTTATTTATAATATTAATACCTGTGTTCGTATGGAAGAGTAGCTGGCTTTAGTATAATGCGGCAGCCCCTTTATTCTTTAAACAAGGAATTTTTTGATGAGACTTAATAGGATTATTGACTTGTTAGTATCGGAACTATTTCTGCACGTTTATTTGCCAAAAGTTCCTCAACGCATTGGCGCCATTGAGTCATTCGTAATAGTATGCTGCGAATGCCGCATTATACTAAAGCCAGCCTTTCGACATAAGTCAGCCTTTCGATAAGATACTGTTCTATAGGAACACAGAACATAATTGATGGAAATGCACGCAAATAAGTTCCAATTCGGCACTTAAACGTAGTTGAGCATATTGCTCGTTTTCATCACTTATATTTTAGAAATAAGAGACTTATGCATGCTTTGCAGTGATGGGTTTCCGAAAAGGGGGATACTTATCAAAACAGCAACGGGAATAAAAGGTCCGCCCAAAGACGATCATTAAAAGGTCCTGTTAGAGGATCATAACAAGCCTATGATTAGGTTTAATATTAAAGTCCCATACCCGCAGAGTTAAACATTTTTTTATTCACATTGTCGGCTGTTCCGTTTCTCACAATTTATTTATTTAATATCTTGAATAAATTAGTAGAATGTATACAAGGCATTTAAGAAAAAAAA